AAATTTACACTTTTGAAACTTTTATAAAGATATATCTGATGGGCAAATCGAAGTCTTTCGTATGGCAATTTTAATCTGCTCGACAAAAATTGTCAAGAATCCCAGAAAATGACTCTTACAGATTTTCCGAAGAGTATATTACTTATTATATATCTGTTATAGGTTTAATAGATTAATTATTCGTAAATAGTAAATTATTTTGAAACATTTAAAAAAATTGAAATTAATAAGGGCAAGCAACAAATGTTTACGGTGAACTAAAGTTCCGGAGGGGACCAAAAATCGAACGTTTCCAACATCCTCCTTTGCTTGTTCTAATTCCTAAAAATAAAAAATAATAGCATCATTTTTTATTGATAAATCAGGTTTCCGTCATTTTTCACGTTTACCGACTAACACTACTTTACTGATTCATTAATTGATAAAAAGAGCAACGAAAAATAATAAACTTCGAGAAATGTGACAAATCGAGGATACGTCGCGGAACACGTGCCATGCAACGTGGAAGGTGCATCCGTCTATGTAACCACGTGGCGTGCGCGCTCGTGTGTATTCGGCGTGAGTCACGGGAGTCGGCGGAGCGTGGAACCCCGTAAAGCCGAATATTCTGTCTGTCGAAGAGTCGAAGCTCTCGCCGGAATCGATAAATTCTCGCGAGACGTGCCGAGAAAGACGCCGCCAGAGAAACCCTTCATCGGTCCGGGGTAGCGCAAACTTCAACTAAATCGGAATCCGTAGAAACAACAGCCTTGACGATTACCTCTTTACAAGAGAAGCAGAGACCGAGCACGGCCACGCCGTTCATTTAATTGAATACGAATAATGGGATTTACACGATCCCGGGGACGACATTTATTTTAATTCTGTGATACGAAAGGTAAATACGGATTCTCGCGGCGCAACAAGAGATTACCTGCGAATTTTCATATTTTCCATCAAGTGGACGCACGTTAGAAGTTGAAAAGATCGTCGCACGAAACGCAAATATTCCGACCGCGCAAGCTGATTTAATTAAACAAAGGACAGGATCGAGTTAAACGTATCCTCCGTCGTTACGCAACGTGTTGCGTGCTCTGCTTCACTTCTTCAGCAAGCAGCAGCAGCAGCAGCGGCAGCAGCAGCGACCGCGACGAGTGCTGATTGGATCTAATCCGTTTAATTCGGGGAATGAGTTTCAGTGGACCATTTTAATTCAAGTCCGTCGCGTCGCGTTTGCTCTCTCTCGCTTGCTTCGAGTGCTCTTCTTAAACTTCAAGCCTCGAGAGCGCTCCAGGCACGCCGTCCCGATATTGAACAGCCTTTTACATTCGTCCCTTAATGACCGGCCGGAAACTCGAGGGCTCAATCTTAAGGGAATATGTTGCGATCTTAACGGAAATTTCTCCACTTTGGTTTCGGGCTTCAAGATAAATGTAACAGGACCTTGAAAGTTTTGTAGGAAAACTTCTCGACAAGGAATGTCGGGATACTTCGAATATCTTGTGAAAATATTCTTTTAGTCGAGGATATACGAAATTATATTACGTAATATCGTTGTTTATCTTCGATTAACTTATAACGTATATTTAGCACGTACGTTTGTGGGTAAGTTTGGTCCACTAATCTCCTTTGCTCAAATTTATATTGTGTTTATAATTTCAACAAAGTATCTTTCTACTTTAGTTTTTAATGCAAGACGAACCAACCAAACAGTTTCTAGAAACGAGATAGCTTCTCCTTCCGTTAGATAACACGTTGGATAAACGCTTCTCGGCGTTGCATCAGTCACAACGCTGTAGAATTATATATATAATTGTGTACAATTGTACACAGTTATATATAATTATAAATGAGCAATTTTCCCATTAAAAAATTTTTCATACAATTCTCTCTGTGTGTACAATGCTCATGCATGAAAAAGTTTTTACCGGGAGTACAACGCGGTTACCGTTGCGTGTGAATCATGCAATCAATTATATTCAATTGCAATTCAAGCAACTTGATGACAACAATTCGTGGACGTTTCGACTTCAATTTGAGTCGTCTTCGGCACAATAAATATTTATTCTCACAATGTAATTAGGCTAAACGGTGAGTGCTCTTAGATTCTTTGGTCAAAAAGCGAGAAAAAGCTAATGTGTGAATCTTTCGACGAGGCGATTATAACAAACTAGTTCAGAAACAAAAGATATGCAAATGGAAGCCACGACAAAGTTAGAAAAACTCACAAATACCTTATAAAACATGAGTGCAATTAAGATATTAAATACTGGATGGCTGATGAACATAGACTTTGCGTTTATATTATTGACGGCTTAATTTATACACTACGTTGAATAAATTTTCCCTCGAGTTAGTTCTAGTCCAGGCCAGCTTTTTCTTTCATTAGATAAGATAATTTAGACGGCTTATCGCACCTTTACCGCGTCCGGTTATACCGATCGTATTCATCCACGTGATTGTACGTGTACCGGCGCGTATTTCCCAGCGCTCGGTGTTTGCGGGGACGTGGAAGAACAACGGTGATTAGGCGTAGCAACACAAACGACGAGACACGGACGACAATTAAACGGATTCTCCGCGCAGCTTGTTATCGTAATGGACAACACGCCGGCCGCATAACGCATACACCCCGGGTGCACATGCAGAATCACGCCCGGGCAGGAAACTCGGGCAGATAGCAGATCCACACACGCGAATAACAGCACGGACGCGCGACACGGCGGACAAAAACGAAGACAAATAAACGTCGAAGGCCTAGGCATCCGGCTAGCGCGACATGTGTCCGCCGCAAAAGTCCAGTGTCCACTGTCGTCGTAAGAATGCGTTTAATAGGATCGCGCCGGCGGGAAGAAGGCTACTGGGTGTCTCGAAGAGAAGCGCGCGTGTGATTGTGCTCCATAGAATGGAGAACTGTCGGATCAATCGGAAATTACATGCAAAACCTGCCGAAAATTTTAACACACGTATATACCTACTCTAATATCATTTCTTGTGAGAATTCACAATGTCAGCAAATAAACGGCGCTTCTCACGTATCTTGCTAAATATTGCAACAAATGTATTATATTTTTTTTATCGATTTATTATAATTGAAGACTTTAAGTTTCATTAGGATTCTGTTGCTTCCTCATTGCAGTAATAAATTGTGACGCGTTGAATTATTAAATCGGTAAGCACAAATGTAGCGTTTACGTAACACAGATGCAACGTACAGACGTAACTAGTTACATAACGTAGATGTAACCGTTACAAACTGTGTTTTACTGGATAGAATTGTGAGTCATATGAAATTCTTTCTTACGCTCATGAAAATAAATTCGTTTATGTTGCATACCAAT